TACTTACCAAAAACGAGCATTTCGGGGCAAATTGTCTCTGAGATGTTAGCCGGTTATACTCAGAAAACTCCATACAAACCCTTCTAATTTTTTTTGTGGTCGACTCCAAAAAAATTTAGAGGAGGTTTGTATGAAGTTTTCCAAGCATAACTGGGCTACGATCTCAGAGACAATTTGCCCCGAAATGCTCATTTTTAGCAAGTAGGCCTCTTGGACATTGTCCTTTCAGAATATCCTGACAAATCCCATAATTTCAGAAATTTCATTTTTATGACGTAACACTTTAGTACTCTATAGCCGACTGGCTCTGGGGACAGGAACGAGAGTGTGTATACAGGTACACCTGTGGACAAAAATTTGAAAAAGAGCAGGTAAAGGTTTGCGGCAAACTTTTTAAAGTTGCAATCTACTAAGGATTACAGATTGAAGCATAAGCCCGTCATCTTAACTGATCAGGGATGATCCTGCCGGATGCGTATACGAACATTGATTCGGTTAAAGAAATAATAAAGATAACTAGAAAGTAAAATGAATCGGAAATAAATATTTTTTAACAATGTAATAAAATTGACAGAAAAATTGACTTTAGGGGGTGGGGGAGGGGGGTAACCAAGGTGCATTATGGTCTATGTCAAAATAGATACTTGAATCGACCTAAAATTTCAATATCCTTGTGACATAGCATCTTTAAGTATTTCGTAATAATCTGAATGACGTCGTCGAATAGAGAACGACCACCTGGAAGCGTGGTTGGTTTTGTCGGTTTTTCGTGACGTTCAACGTTCTTCGCTTTGCTTTCATTGCTGACTGCACTTAAATACTTGTTTTCACCTCACGAACAAAAACAAAATTGTCTTAAGTAGTGTATAAATGTGATTCGGTGGAAGTGAAGCATTTGGTCTTCCTGTGAATATCATCTCATTCAGGGCAAACAACAATATTTCCAGCTGCTTGTGTGGGTTTCCTGCGTTTAATATGCCAAATTATCTTTTAAAATGACGTGTTTCTTAAACATGGGTTCTTGCTACTGTAACTTTCAACTATCATTTAGGTTTGGCCTGAATACACCGAATAATATGTTTCCTTATAAAAGTGAGTAATTAATATGACGTAATTCAGAAGTTATTCTGCTAGGAGCGTTGCACACAGGGAAACGGGTATTCTTTCAGTTTAGTAACCTTTGTTTAACAACGGCACAAGTTCAAGTTCATCTACAAAGGATGTGAAGTTCTTAAACCTTAAGGACCGGTGTCTTTCCCGACCTATTAGTAAACAGGAAAAATTGGGAGAAGGCGGCATTGAATGCATTCCTCTTGACCATTACGTGCTTGCGTTCAAGCCAGTTCCTTGAACTTGTGATTGTCTCATTCAAATAAAGATGCCGTCAAATTGTCTGGTAGGTACAAAGCTTCCCTTCTTGAACCGATTACCATGACAACGATACGGTCATTGCGGTACTGACGCACAATAAGTTCTTAAAATGGTAACTTCACAATTATTATGCACTTTGTCAGCTGTGTACAAAATTACCTTCTTTGTACCGATTCGGACGTAAACAATTCATCCGGTGCTTTATTGCGTGATGGCTAACCTTACCAATAACTCCGTGTAAATCGTTGCATTCATTTAACCAATCCTATTCTTAACTGCTTTAATCTGTTTTATCGCGTCGTCTATGCTGCGCGTACGCTGCGCACGATGAGAATCATGCAAGCGAGACTGCGCTTTGTGGCATGCGCAGTGAAGCTTATCGGCTAGGCCACTTGAGCAATGGAGTGTTTGTCTCAAAGACAACTGTGAATTGCCTCGTCATAAAAACGCTCAAATTTGGGCTGGGGTCCAAAATGCTTTGCTTCACTATTCGTCTTAAATTCCCCTGCAAATAAAAGAAGTCTAATAAAACTGATTTATTAAAGTTCCTATGGATGAGTTCAAGGGACTAATCTTCCCAATCCCATGGGTCGTCATGCAATAGTGTATAAAGTCTGGTGCAAGGTCCACTAGTTAAGCGTGAATCCGCACAAATATATCGATCAGCCAGTTTAAATCGTCGATGTTTGTTTATGTGGAGAGTTCATATATATTGTTATTCTTCGTACGCTGAAAGCCTAGTGGCGTGAAGCATGGCACGAACACTACAGTATAAAAAGCGCGACCCCTTCAACGAGGTTTAGAACTCTTGTGTTTAACGAAGCTTGCCGAGGTGGCTATTCAGAACGCACCGCCACGCTCTTGAGCATCAAGGAAAGCGATACAGACTTGTAGCGTGTAATTGCTACCGTGTTTTGTTTCTAGTACGGCTGAAGGTTGCTCGGAAAAAGATTTATGAAACTTTTTAAGGGAGCCCGCCTTACTCTATTGTCGAATTTCTGACGCATCAAGCAACCTGACGAAATCAGCTTGGAGAGTGATTCGATGATTTTGATTTAAACTGGGGCAACTAACCAATCAAGCATTTCAGATTTTATCTAGTCAGTAATAACTAAAACTAGTTACATCAAAATGTTACCAGCGGAGTCAGTAATAAGCCTACTTGGAGCATTGTATCAATAATTATGTTACTAAATTTAAACCCACACACCTCTGCTGTTACCGACCATTGCTGCGCACAGTAGATCTACTGACAGCTTACAATATAGTGCTTAAAATTAATTTTAAAAGTGGTGAGCAATCGCACAAAATTGAAACTTTTCAAGTGCAGTTCTCACAATTGAATTTTTCGCTGTTTATTAATGATATAACTACGTATCCTTTAATTGTAGGCTTTTACGTTTGAATTTATACTTTACAAGTATAATATTTATCATTGATCATTGCATCAGTCATTTAGAGAAGTTATTCCCATAAAGGGTCACGTATTTTTCTTGCTTTATGATTCCATCCCACCAGGTACCTAAAACATCAAAGGCTTATCCTGGTCTTGTTTAGCTAGAGCGCACAATAGCGTAGTTAACAGTTAATGCTACAGAAGGGAAAATTAATGTCTTCTAAACAAACTACCCTTGAGTACTGATTCTGCGGAAAGAATACAGAAGCAGATATAAAAGGATAAAGACACTTTAAAAACTCTTGAACGAAGCTAAGTCGGCTTTTTGTTAAATCATGATTGATTGGCCAGCCAATCAAAAGCTTGCTCATAAGTTTAATTGAGGTCTTGACTCTTTCCTAATATTGAGGCATCTAGGGGCTCGATTCAGCAATGGAAATGAGGCGTAAAGACTCCTTAAAGAAATAAACAATGTGGTGCATTTTCGTATTTATCACAAGCTTAGCAAATTCAATCTCGGACGGTGTGGTAGGCTCGAAACACCTTGCGTTTAATTGTGGAGGGAAAAAAAAGAAACTCTTAGTAAACTCTCTGAATATTGAGGAATGCGCGCAATTGATGCGATGTTTCGTCTTTTGTTCAGCAAAACAACAGAAGCCACAACTACGTCAATTGACAATGCCAAAAAATATTCAACTTCCACAAAAAGGGGCTGCAAAACTCGACATCCGCTTGCACGAAACACTACTGAAGTTCAAAGACCCCTACAGTTTGAGCTCGTTCTTTTCAATTCAGACTGTTGAAAATAGGAAACCAATAATTCTCGTGTTGAGGAGATCGTAAATTTTTGACCCGAGATTGCCTTTAGATAAACTTGTCGTGGTTCAAGCCGGCTCCATTTTGAGAAATAGCTTGAGGCAAAAAACATTAGTATAGAGTATATTACGAGTTAGTTAATCAAGCAGACTCATATACATAACAAAAGAGCAGCACTCTAGGACACCCTATTTATTGGTGAAACCTTCTCAAACTTCTTAGGCCTTTGTGAAGAATATTCGACGGACGCAAACGAGTAGACCACACTCACTTCAAAAGGTTAGTGGCTTCCCTTTTTTTTCCCTCTTGAAATATAGTTTGTTGTGTTCTTTTCACTTAACGTACTCGAACAATTATAGATTGACTCTATATTTATGTGTTATCTATGGGACAAAATGTGCACATGTTGAGGAATTTGTTCGCTTTTTAGCCCGTCTGTTTTCGAATGTATGAAAAG